CTGTTCCTTGTCGGTAGTCCTGAATCCTACGTAAGTCAGTCTTAGAGGAATGTAGGATAAATCGTTATCTGTGTTTGTGTAAGGTTCCACCTTCCATTCAATGACAGTAACTTTGTTCCCTCTGCATGTGAATGTTACTAACTCATTGGGACATGAGTGAAAGGACATTAGCTTCAGTACTGGCTCTCCACTAACAGCTAGAAGTATGCTTTGTGAGGCTGGGAAAATGTGGGGGTTTTTAAAGTAGCTAACTCACCTTAGCCGAAAGTCCAACTATAAACAGCTGGTAGTGAAAACTACATGGAATGATATATTACAAACATCTTGTTCTAACCCTCGGCGCGCATGCGCAGCGAGGGTTACCGTAGTTGTGTGTGTGTCCACGACGATTCTCGAACTACAGGCTACGAGGAGGCCTATTAGCGACACCAAACCCTTCAATGCTTCGCGAGCCAGAAAATAAAAAGGCGATTTACCTGAAACGACTGCGTTCGAGAGATATGCCGTGAAAACAAGCAAAAAGGCCAATATGCATAATCGTTCGTACTGGGCCGCGACCTGATCCACTCGCTCTGTGTATCTTGGGGGCTCAGGAAGTCACAACGAACGGCATGTATCGACTCCCGCATGCTATCTACTACTGTAGCTAGCCCGCGTCAGACTCTTTACGAGCTACTAGAGCGGGAGAACGCGGGTACAAATAGCCCAGCCCATCAATTAGCAGTATCGCGCATGCGCAGTTCGCCAAGGGTTTGCACTTTCTATAACTGATTACCCGAGCGAATAGCGTGAGTGCTTAGGAATTGCACTTCTGCTTTGACAACTACAGCTGCCATGTCACGGCGCTGCATCTCAGCACACAACAGTCACAGGGTGGGACTGGACACAGCACAGCCTGTAATAGGGTTGCTACTTTTAAATAATGTTTAGTGATCGCGCATGTGCCCTGTAATACAGGGCATGTGCACGATCGCATAAAAGGGAGTATTTACAAGTAAATTATCCTGCAAAAAGAGGCATAGCTATAGGGATGGTATAAAAAGAAAGGGAGACAAGATAGGAATGGGATTCTTGAACTATGGTTAATGAACAGATTTGAGCTCGCAGACACCCACGACCCCATCACTCAATCCCTATTTTGTTGCCTGGTGTGCCACTAGTAAACTTTGGACTCTTGGTTATTCAGTAGCATGAATTTTCAAGCTTATTGTAACAGTGTTGTTTACTCAGTAACATGACTTGTTTGTATTATCAAGGTGTAAGTCCTGACTATTGTAGTTTAATACTTCACCTAGGCAACAATAGAGGGATTGTGTGATGGGGTCGTGAGTGTCAGCGTGCTCAAATCTGTTCATTAACCATGCTTCATGTATCCCATCCCTGTCTTGTCTCCCTTTTATGCCATCCTATATGCCTCCTTTTTAAATTCGCAGGATTTTTAGTTTACTTGTCTCCACTTATTTTTATAATTATTATACTACTGCATGTGTAGCTATATCTCTGTAAAAAGGGGCAAGCCGCGATAAAAATCATTAATTAAAAAGGGCCTGTTGTCGTCATGGAAATGATGTAATACACATGCGTACCAAGTTTTATCTCCATGAGTGCTACCGTTAGCACGTTTTGTATAGCCTATAGAACGTGGCGACCTGCTTCATTTAGACTCTGCCAGCACTTTTCTCTGACTAACAGCCAAGACTGCTCATGGCAACCCTGACTGTCCCTCTACCATTGTGTTTTTAGCAAGTTGTCATGTATAAGCCAGCCCATAGTCCAGTCCATGGACCAGTCTTTTTTCTTTTACTGTAGTGTTTGACGCTGCAGTGGGTGATTATCACCATTTCACTTCATGGTAAGTAAACTGTATTATTGTAAAATTGTGGTCCTGTTGGTGGGTGTAATTTCTGGGAGTGGTGCTATAATACCACAACTGAAATACTTGTCATTGATTGGCATTCTAGCATATAACACTCTCTCATTTAAAAAAGAATCCCATATTGTACTTTATGGGGAATGTGCTGCAATATTTCTAAATGTGCAGGAATTTCAAGCAAAATGAAAAGCACTAAAGTGCAAACCCTCGGCGAACTGCACATGCGCGATACTTCTAATTGATAGGCTGGGCTATAGTATGCGTTTACCCGTGGTCGCTTGTAGCTCGCGGAGAGTCTGACACGGGCTAGCTACAGTAGAAGATAGCATGCGTGAGTCGATACATGCCATTCGTTGTGACTTCTTGAGCCCCCAAGGTACACAGAGCGAGGGGATCAGGTCGCAGAAAGCCCAGTGCGATTATGCAATTGGCTTTTTCGCTTGTTTTCACGGCATATCTCTCGAATGCAGACGTTTCAGGAAAATCGCCCTTTCATTTTTCAGGCTCGCGTAGTTCTGAAGCCGCTGGTATCACTAATAGGCCGCCTCATAGCCTGTAGTGCCAGGATTAGCGTGGACACACAGACAGACAGACAGAACGACTACAGTAACCCTCGCTGCGCATGCGCGCCGAGGGTTAACAATTACAGCACAACTTACTCATGTGTAAGAAGAATTCTTCCTGTATTATACATAATATCACAAATATTGGGATTTTGCAGGAATATTTCCTACACTTTTTCATTTCTATCTGCACTTTTTAAAATTCTTCTATATTAACTATATACACTTTTCGAAATTCTTCCTCAACATTTTAATTCTTCCAGCACTTTTGCATGTGCAGGAATTTTTTCAGTAGAGTGACATGGGTTTCTTCAGTTTATACTATCACTTGAAAAAGGACTATTTAAAATGAGAGAGTGTTATTGGCGAGCGGGAGCGGATTTTCTATATCTACGACCGCACGTCGTCCAACTGCGCATGCTCCAGGATTACGCGCTTCTTTTTATCCGAAAGGATTTCAAAATTTCACATGCTGCCTGCCTGTGATGATGTCGTGCGTATCATGTGCATATAGTCCGGGGAAGATGCCCTTCGTCGTCGAAGAGAGTGGAAAAGAGAACATCGTGCCCGTGAGATTCAGAGAGACCCGTTTGTATCAGCGTCGCTTTCGTGATAGGGAACGCCCAAATTTTTACACGCTGCCTAGCTGTCATAGCGATGCGAAATATAGCCAGCCAAAGAACTCTCGTCTATTTGCTGGAATTCGCTGCGCTCTTCGATACCTGACCGAGGCTGTCTATACCTCCTTCCAATCTTCGTGATTCTAAGGTTCAAGTTGTAGGATGGCTCGTGCAGATACAGTCATTGTGTGCTCGCTCCCGCTCGCCAAAAATGCCATGCATTCACCTACTAGTATAATAATCATATTCCTCCTTCATGGTGGCAAAAACCAGTGCGCGACTTCACCGGGATCGAACGGTTCCTTGTACCGATGTGCAGTTAGCCTCATCCCAGGACTTCTCCCTCCTCCTAACAAAATTATATATTTGTGACCTTTGAACCATGAGCAAAGTTCAGGAGCAAGAATGCCTGGAAGATTTTCTCATGTGATGCGTGGCACAGAAGACGTCGCGCCCATAAGCAATACATATTACATGAATGACGCATAGTGACGTTTGTGCCACGTATCGTATGAGAAAACCCTCAGGCCTTCTCCCTCCCAGTAATGGTCATTTTTGTACTGTCCTATGTCATGCACAGTACTGTTCCAGGGGCGTAGGAACAGGGGGGGTGGCTACTGGGGCCAGGGCCCCCTTTTTCTGTTGTTCTTTCGTACCTTATCGTCCATGCGCCTGAGGGCGAACGCTGCCGCGCCACCAGCGACCGCTTTTATGCGCACGTATACACGTACGTATATACGTAGTTACACAGCCCCGCGGGCGGAAGGCGTGGCTCCGCATGCGCAGTTCGCCGAGGGTTAGTGCAACATTACTAAAATTTTGTGCCCCCCCTAATGCAAAACACTTCCCTACGCCCCTGTGTGTTCATGGTGTATGAAGCACGTGGAGTGCGGGCAGAAATAGATTTTGGCAAAAAGAAATGGCGACAGTTCATTTTACTGTGTTCCAAACTTTGTGAGTCAAACTAAGTGACCAAGTCAATAATATGCAAATAAGCCTAGACCGATCCATTATGCATGCTTTGTGCATTGTGGAGTCATCACGTGCTGCTGATTGCATAATAAGAATTAGCTTACGTGTATGTAAGACCTACACTTCAGCCCACTTCATGCGTACTGTTGACTCGTAGTGATAGTAGTCTGCCTATTTGACGCGCATGGAAGAAGTAGTCAGGTGACATAAGCACGAAAGACCCAACTGCACCATCGAAAATTGCATGTTAATTCAGAAGATGCATGGTGTTCGCAGAATCCCATGCATCTTCTGAATTATGGGAAGGCCTGTTACACACTGTTTGCACTACGCCAAAATATTCTCATAATTCTGTGTCACATTTGGATATCTCTGTATCTTTGATGTCATATTTAAACCTCGGCGCGCATGCGCAGCGAGAGTTGGTTTGTCTGTCCGTCTGTCCGTCTGTTACCACGTTGTCTGCCACCACACGAAACAAACAGGTAAAATAGCGACACCGACAGGTTCAGTGCTACACTGGCTTCATTTTAAAATAGCGAATTTCGTAAGTTCTGCGTTCGAGAGTTATGGCGTGAAACCAAGTCAAGAAGCCAATAATATGCTAATTAGCACAGCCTTACCTCGACCAGGTCCGCTCTCTCTGTGTATCTTGAAGGCACAAGAAGTCACAACGAAGGGCGTGTATCGACTCACGCACGCTATCTACTTCTGTCGCTAGCCACTGTCAGACTCTCCGCGAGCTACCAGCGGGAGACAACGAGTTTACGCCTACCCCGCCCATCATTAGCGGTATATACCGCGCAAGCGAAGTTCGCCGAGTGTTTTTCACATGGTTAGTTGCAACGCTTGACCGGCAGAGCATAGACGGCAGTATGGAGCTACTGAAACGCGCAAACTGTTGCACTTCTGTGCTTTTTTCATTGGTGAAATTTATTCTGTTGTCCTGTAGGTCATGTCGTTGGTGATACTACTACTACTGCGAGATTGACAGTTTTATGTGGGCTTTATACCGATGATCAGCCAACCATCACATTATGCCCAAGAGACACAAACCTCATCCTTATCGAATGTGATGTGACAGATGGCGTTTTTCTTGATTGGGAATTTACACCATTAGGTAACCCTGTGTCATTTACTCCTGAAGACGAGGTGGGTCAGGTGATAGACAGGTCACCTATCTCAATAACACTGAAAAGCAGAGTGTCTAGTGGTGGAGAGACAACCTATAAATCAGAATTCAAAGCATTTAGTAATGAGCTTAGAAGCACTCTTCTTCAACTAAAGCGAACCTCAGTTGAAGTTAGTTGTGTAGCATCATCATCTGTAAAAGACACCGTCTCTCTTATAGTTCAAGGTAAGACAATATGTTTTGATATTGTGTTCTTCATGCCTTGATTTTTACTCAGAGAAGCAAAGACCTACAATTAGTAATGCTATTCTTGTAGAAAATGAGTTGACAATTACATGGACATCGGAAATATATGATATTGCGATTATTGCAGTAGTTGTCGAAAATGCTCAGAGAAATTTTCAGAAGACAACGTTTGTTGAATGGAATGAGATGGAGGAGTCAGTCATTGTTGATCCTGCAGTTCCTTACAATGTTACGGTTGTTGTCTACGATAGATGTCGGGAAAGTCACACGTCAGACATTTTCCATGTGCATCCAGGGATTGAAACCACGTCTACTGAGGCAGGATCAATCAGCTCTTTAATGAGACTAGGTATTTTTCCAAGTACGACTGAACTCAATGTGTCTATGGCCTATTGAAACAGCCTCCTCCTCATTTTGCAGGTGCTGAACTAAATCCTTCCCAAACAGAGTATGCGTCCACACCTTCACAGACATTTGTTTTCCCTTCATCACAGCCAGAGTGTGATAATAGAGGTGAAGAGAATGATTGTAACAAGCATTCACCACTTATATTATTATTATTTCAATTGCAGATGGTATTATTATTACATTAGCAGTGCTGCTTGTGATAGCCTTTCTTATCGGCATAACTCCGTTGGGATTTGTTGGTTTCATCTTTCTGTGGAAAAGAAGAAACTCTCTTCAGCAACTTTAGCTTAAATCTGAGTCCATTTGATCATTTGTTATATAACTTAAAATTACGTGCTTCAGTACAACTTAACTCCTACTATATACAAACACACAAAATGGATGCTATTAGGAGGCAGTCCACAACAACGTTTAGAAGGCCAGACAGCAACAGTAGGCATGGTACGACCAAAGCTCCCAATAATGTTCCTGCTCAGTAGGTGATAAGGTCCTCTTACTCCTCCCCACGTAGAGATATGCTTAAGTTTACCGCCTAGTGGCAGAGTGTAGTTAAATGAAGATACACAACATATGGCGAAGTGAGGAAACTTCACCATGTGTTTTGCATATCTCTATGTAACTGCGCTTGGTTTTGATGTGAATATGCTCTTGTGTTTTGGACTGTGGCTAAGGAATGGTCATGTGTCAACCAAGGTCCCTAACCTACCAGTTTGTGCTAGGTTGCTGATTCAACGATTGTGAATATTTGACAAGACAAAGACGACCTAGTGCATGTGATGCGGTAGTAATTGACATATACAATTTAATTGTGTAATTCTTCCACACAATTAGTGCTTATCATTAGCATTGGCTTACCTCTGGGATTGTGTTCATTGTCAAGGCATCAAAAGATAATCAGGAACACGTTGAGTTCTGCATTGCTCTATGCAATTGTATATAGCTACATCTTACACTTTAATCGTATAGTTTGGTCAGAAACTTCATGAAACAGACGTTTCGGCAAGTATCAGAGCGCTATGCAACAGTTTGGTTGATTATCTCTGTCGCTATAGTAATCCAATAGCTATGCACCTGCCGGCAAAAAATCCCTTCATCAACACTGCTGTTTTGCCCATCAGGACATAGGTTTTGACAAATGATACTGTTTGCTAAATACAGGAAAAGACAAGGAAAAACAGTTTACTAAGCCATACTGTCCTCAGTCTCATACAGAGGGACTGGTGTTTGTGTCTTGTGTGAGTATCCCTCATTTGAGAGTATCCTCATCTCATACAGTGGGTTGTTCTCCATGTTGTAGTCTGGCTCCAGTCTATCACCAACTGAACTTTGAACATGGACACCATAAGCAGAGTTCTTCACCGCGTCACACTTCTCCTGCTGTCTGCTTTGCTACTACCTATGAATTTAACACAATCATAATCAACACTTTGACAACGATGGCAACTTACATGTCCTCAAAACAATGAGTACAACAAATATTGTGATCACAAGAAGTGTTCCTGCAGCTGGTACCAGAATCAAACGAACCGAGAAACTATCAGATAAACCATCAGTGACTGGTCTTGGTGTCATACTGGGTGTACTATCCTCCACTGAATCTGTTGAGTAAGGTGTTAGGTCAAATCGCACTTCCCAAATAAACCTCACCTTGATCGTACTGTATCTCAAGTGGTAAGGGATCACTGTATCCTGCACAGTTGTGGGCTGAGATGTTCACTGACAGTGTAGTTTTGTACATGATGTAAAAACTGTAAGTGGGGCCTGGAGTTTCCAACTGTGTGCTGTTGTCCACTTGAATAATGTAGTGATCAATTGGAACTCCTCCTCCATCAAACATGTCTCCTAGCTCTAGTACTGCTCTGAAATATGACTCCTTCTCTTGGTATGTAATTGAGGGTGCTTTAAAGCTGGGTATACCTAACCCAGAATCATAGCTATTACTAAGCCAACACAATAATATTCAAACCTGCAAATGTAGTACCGAAGACAAATGAAATTCTTGAAAAACGCCACTTTTATCTGGACAAGTAATGCTTGTATTATTCTCTGTCCCATGTTAAATTATAGTTAGACTAGTGGTCATGTCTCCAACCTTCCCATCCAGCCTCGTGATATTGGTCAGGTTAGCAAAGAATTTATCCTCACGGTCCATAGGGAGCCTTCCTGCAGGAAGAGTTGTAAACTCTGCGACGTATTGCATGGGGTTTGCCAAAGTGATGTAAGGCTGAACTTCCCACAGAATGACTCTGATCTGACTGCCACGACAATAGTATGTCACTGTCTCATTTGGACAAGCATAGATAACGGAAGGGTGAATAATTGCTTCTCCCAACACAAAACCTGTCGGCATAGTACAATCTAAAAATCAATAGCTAGTGGTAGTCATTCACCTTTTAGCAAAAGCTCACAAAGGAGAAAAAGAAGCAGTAATAATTATTATTATCATTCCTCCCAAAAAGTTTCAGATGCAGAAACACCAATGAGCAGCGAGCACGACAGCACTGTTATGCGCTAATACACCTGCCTCGTACGCATCATTGTTGGCAAGCGAAACGTCACGGGCAGTGCACGGGCATTGCACTGAACACGCGCTTGATACGCTGATACAGAGTGTGCGCGCTTTTGGGTCCACAGTCCGTGCGGATCACGAGATGCAGCGGTCTCAAAACACCGGTGACGTATCGTCGAAGCGCCTAAGCGCTCGACAAAACGCACGAGAAATCAGATAGCTAGAGCTACCCTAACTATCAAAGAGAAAGATGTTGCCGAAATGGACTGAGACGTATTGGTCACTGTGTATCCTTCCTTATAGTATTCACTCAAGGTGAGTTTTGTTTGACGTTTGACTAAAGGTGAGTTAGCTACTGCTTGATAACCCTCGCATTTCCCCCGTCTCACAAGGCATACTTTTAGCTGTTAGTGGAGAGCCAGTATTGAAGCCGCTGTCCTATCACTCATGTCCCAATGAGTCTGTAACGTTCACATGTAGTGGGAACAATGTTACTGTTATTAAATGGAAGGTTAAACCTTACACAAACACTGATGGCGATTTATCCTACATTCCTCTAAGACTGGTTGAAGATTCAGGACTGCCGACAAGGAACAGTACTGACAACACACTCTTATCTGCTCTTCTATATTTCAGTAGGATCAGTGACAGGCTTGCAAATATGACGACAAATCTAACAGTTAAAACTTATGGAGTGGTTAATACAACGAATATCACCTGTTCCACACTAAGAGGAAGTGTGGTATATACTGTGAATGCTACAATATATTTTGCAGGTATTAATGTTTACAAAGGTTACTTTTAGTTGTTACTGCTATTTATGTAGATGTGCCGTATCGCAAGGAAGTGCATGTTATTATGCACAAGGGAAACGAAACATATTACTTCACAGCAGTACTAGAGCTAGGAGATATGTTTAATGGAGGAGGAGTTCCAATTGATCACTACATTATTCAAGTGGACAACGGCACACAGTTGGAAACTCCAGGCCCCACTTACAGTTTTGACATCATGTACAATACTACACTGTCAGTGAACATCTCAGCCCACAACTGTGCAGGATACAGTGATCCCTTACCACTTGAGATACAATATGATCAAAGTGAGGTTTATTGGTGAATTATGATTATAACCTGACACTATAACGTACAGATTCTGAGCATAGTACACCCAGTATGACCCTGAGGCCTGTCACTGGTGGTGGTTCCTCAGTTCTTGTGATTGTGGTACCTGTATCAGCTGCTGGGGCACTTCTTGTCATCACAATATCTGTTGCACTCATTTGTTTGCTTAAAAGGACATGTAAGTTGCCATCATTGTCAAAGTGTTGACTATGTGTTAAATTCATAGGTAGTACTAATAAGAACAGACAGCAGGAGAAGTGTGATGTGGTGGAGAACTCTGCTTATGGTGTCCATGTTCAAGGCTCAGCTGGTGATAGACTGCAGCCAGACTACATCATGGAGAACAACCCACTGTATGAGATGAGGATACTGTCAAATGAGAGACACTCACACAAGACTCAAACACCAGCTCCAGTCCCTGTGTATGAGACTGTTGACAGTGCTGCTCCTTAAGTTTATGAGGAAAAAAGACGTACATTTCACCATGTTTACCCTATACATGCTATCGCAGTAGCTACACTTTGTTTTCGGTTTTCGCTTGTGACTTTCTTGTTTCGCATTGCGAATGTGGCATAAACCACTCATTAACCCTCGGAGGGTTATTGCAGTCGGTCTCTGTGTGTGTGTGTGTGTGTGTGTGTCCTTCCGTCCGTCCGTCTGTCCACCGTTTTTCTAGGTAACCGCGGCAACTCTGAGCGTGAAACGTGGACATATTATCAAGTAGGGGGCATGCATGGTAAAATAAGATTCTGGAGCGGAGAAGGCCGGGGAAGCAGACGAAACGGAGGGCTGTCGAGGTGAGTGTGCGTTAAATAGAGATAAAAACAGTTGAGTAGGAGTGAGATTGCCAGTGAAGTGAGAGCCAGGAAGCGAATCTGTTCAGTGAAGGAGTCACTGAGATAGTGTAGCCAGGTAGCTAGTAGCCATTGGCTGTTGAAATAAAGAATAAAGTGGTGACTGAGGGTACAAGGATGATTGGAATAAAGTTCAATACAGGATAATGTTCACAAAATGAGAGATGGCTTAATTAATTAAAGGAAGAGCAGTCTCTGCTATTGAAGACCTCCATAATTAACAGTGGCGAGGGTTATGCACTTTCAAGTGCTTTTCATTGCTTCTAGAAACCAATTTATCACCGACTAGTTATCGAGAATTGGGACTTCCAACTAGAGAAACGTATATAGCTCAGCTCAAATTTTCTACATTCCTACCTCTGATGTGAAGCATATGTATACTTGTAACTTTAGCTGAAACAGTTGTAAGAAACAAATTTCTTACATTATAGTCACCTTCATCATGATATTCAATTTTAAGCAAATAAAAATATTATATTAGCATTTATTGAGTGATTACGTAGTGCAAGGTAGAAATTAAGTCACTTTTTGCTTTGCTTTTTGAGTTATACCCTCCAATCATTAAAAATAATACCTCCAAAGGAAACTGTTGCGGCTATGGAAGTTTTCTTCATATGAGGTGTGTCTGAAATATCAAAGAATTATTCCAGTGAAGTAGAACTAAAAGAATCCTACCAGCTTGATAGAAGGTTGTATATATTTGTTGCAGCTATGGAAGTTTTCTTCATATGAGCATACCTACCAACCATCCCGGATTTTCCGGGAATATACCGGAAAATTGGGTTGCATCCCGGTATCCCGGAACATTTTCATAAATCCCGGAAAGTTCTGCGCGCACAGACCGGACGCGCGCGCGCGTTTGGACTGCCCGCCCGCCGCGCGTCGAACGTATAATTATCGTGCGCGCTACAGAGCGAAGCCTTCATCAATAACTCCATTTTTCTAATACACTAACTCCATTCCTAATACTTTGTGTGCGCTGTGTACCATCATTTCTTGTACCAGTTTTTGTAAAGTATATAATCAAGGAAAATAGATCATAAACAAGGAAAATAAATGAAACGCTCAAGGAAAAATATCCCTGCATGTTGGTAGCTAGGTATGTATGAGGTGTGTCTGAAATATCAAAGAATTATTCCAGTGAAGTAGAACTATATAAAAGAATCCTACCAGCTTGATAGAAGGTTGTACTTGTTGCGACTATGGAAGTTTTCTTCATATGAGGTGTGTCTGAAATATCAAAGTATTATTGCAGTGAAGTAGAACTAAAAGAATCCTACCAGCTTGATAGAAGGTTGTGGTCTTCTGTGACATGAAAAGCAAGTGAACAAGCCAACATCCAAATGAATTATTATTATGACTTTACAGCACAGCAGTGAGGTAGCTAACAGAAGCAGACAGGGCAGTGAAAATGTGGAATGGTGCTGAAGGTCTGCTGGTGATGTGCACCAGCAGCCTAATGTAAGAAACACAGTATATAGTTAATTATTTAGAGGAGAGAAGAGTCAAAATTGAAGGAGACTGGGAGTGACCAGCATTTAGCACAGGGACAGAGGTAGTGGAATGAGCACACATTGCCAGGATCAAAGTTCGTAGTGAAATGGTTCCAAAACAATTTGTAGAGTTTACGTTTTATAGATGTTATTGGTTGACTCATGTCAATACGAGGGAGAGAGTTCCAAAGGTGAGGTAGGCGATTGAAGTAGAAGTTTCGAGTAGAGTTATTGGTTGTGACTAAAACGTGTTTTCAATTTAACATAGGAGGCAGAACGAGTTTGGCCAGACAACAAATGTAACAAATCTGGATATTGTCAAAATGATCAGATGGCTCCTTCAAGGACTTAATAAAGAATAGTATGTCATTAATTTCGAGGACCATCATTAGTGGAAGCAATTGAAGGTCAAGCAATCGAAGGTGATAGTTTAGAATCATAGCTGTTAAGAATAAATTGGTGGCCCGTCTCTGTACATTTTCCAGAGCTTTAATATCGGTCAGAAGGTGAGGACGCCAGATGGGTGAGCAGTACAGTAGTTTGATCGAATGAGGGATACATACAGAAGTTTCTTAGCCAGGGCAGTAAACGGACGAGAAGACTCTTCTAAGTAAGCCGAGTGACTTTATAAGACTTAGCCATAATGGACACATAATGGTCTCTCCATTTGAGGTCAGGAGTCAACACAACACCTAGATCGGTATGAGCTGTTTCTTAGCAGTTGGGTGTTGTTCAGATGGTAGGAGAAGGAGAATTGAGGGTGACGGTGTCCAGAATGAACAGAGATAGCAGAGCATTTTTATCATTAAAGGCAGATTGGCAGATTCAGTAGAGCTCCACTGTGCTAGTCTCTTTAGATCATCTTGCAGACACATACAGTCAGAAAAGTTGGAATGGATTTGAAACATTTTGCATCATCCGCAAACAACAGGGACTTAGAAGACAATACAACTTCAGGGAGGTCATTAAGTAGATAAGAAACAGTAAAGGGCCAGGATGCTGGCCTTGAGGAACACCAGAGACCACAGGGGAGAGCGGTTGATGTTTTAGAGTTGATAGAGACACATTGACTTCGGTTAGTTAAATATGCAAGCAGCCACTTCCAAGCATTACCAGTTATACCAATGTGCCATAACTTGAATAGGAGCTCATTGTGGGCAACAGAATCAAAGGATTTTTTGAAATCCAAGTATAAGACATCAGTTTGAGAGGAATTTCTGGAAGATTCGAAAATAGAGTTGAAAAATAAGAGTAACTGGTGTAGGGTGGAACGATGTGCAAAATCTTCCGCGAGCTGCGCATGCGCTAATACAGCTAATTGATGGACTGGGCTATTGGTATGTATTTACCCGTGGTTTCCCGACTGTAGCTCGCGGAGAGTCTGACACCGGCTAGCTACAGTAGTAAAGAGCATGCGTGAGTCGATCCACACCCTCTGTTTTGACTTCTTGTGCCTCAAAGGTGTGCAGAGCAAGCAGACCCAGTCGAGGTAGCTAAGTCTCTTAAATTTGCACATTGGCTTGTTCAATTGCTTTTCACGCCATAACTTTAGAACGCCATTTTAAAATGAAGCCAGTGTACACGTTGGTGTTGCTTTTTTTCCTGTTTGTTGCGCGTGGTGGTAGAAAGCGTGGTAAAAGGCGGACAGACATACGGACGGACAGACAGGCAGACCAAGTACTGTATCCCTCGCTGCACATGCGTGCCGAGGGTTAACAAGGTGGTGTACTAGTGTAGCTGATACTGAAAGCACACAGGGAAGTTTGGCTTACACATGTACATACCAATGCAGTTGGAGCCATTATGAGCCAGTGTGTAGCCCTCATGGCAGGAGCACTGATAGCTACCCACCATCTGTGTTGTTGCAGGTGTGTGGACAGCCACCATTGTTGACCAGACATTCATCCTCATCTGGGTGATAGAGAGGGGGAGGGAAAGAAGATAGAGTGATAGAGAGGGGGAGAGAAAGAAGATCGAGGGAGGAGAGAGGGGCGGGGGACGGAAATTTTAGAAGGAAGAGAGCAAAGGGGAAAAGAGATTGGGGTTTAAGGAATCACTATAGTAAATCATTACCGAGTGGAGTAAGAAGATACTAAAGTCCCACCAAAAGGTTGTCCTATTTTGCATTAGTCTGAGATGCACATTGCTCCCCCCCTTAGTAAAGTACACCTTATTCTTACAGCTCTGTATATACGAACCTTCACTGCAGGAGAGGCCGGCCCAGCCAGTATGGCAGTCACAGACTCCAGGCAAGATGCAGCGGCCACCATTCTGACATCCACCTCCACATTCAGCACTCACGTCAGACACAGATTCAGGCTGCTGAAGTTGTTCGACTACAATAGACAATGATATATTATACCAGTCTCACTGTAAATCCCTGTGCTATAATTATGTGCTGGTGGTATTGGAAAACAATTCACAAGGTTTGATTACATCAAAACCTCTGTAATCCAGACACTAATGGACAGGAGAAAGAGTCCCTATTAGTGAGGTGTCCTTATTTCAACAGTTAAATTGCATGCAAGGGCTAAAGTAGTTGTGTCCTACTGTCCTCATCTCCAAGCAGGGGGGTTCCACAAAGGCTGCATTACTGTACGCATACAATGGGGCAGATTTACAATCAAAGATGAGACAGAGTCATGTGACGCTCATGTGATCTTATGCAATCACTCACTGGTAGGCTGAGTGTCAGGCTGAACAACTTGAATGTGCATGTGAGTGTATGGCTGAGTCAGCACACCATACACCATGGCAAGCATACTAATGAGTTGTCTTCCTGCGCATACACTGCGTGCGGTGCCTTTGATTTCTACGGCTTCTGTGGTACAATGACTATAGCCCTGAGGAAGATATTATTTTCCACAGGGTAAAAAAACTTCACACTTGGACAACATGCAATGTATTATAAACAGAAATTTTGAGACAAAGAAACGAATAGACGATTATGTGTCTGTATGTCATGGCAATAATATCATTTCCCCCTGAGTACACAATTCTCGATCTTGTTTTTCGCTTTCGTCATTCCCTATGTACCTATGTGGAACAGCTGTCACCCAAGCAATCTCTCTGTGCAATCACATGATCATGGAGTTTTTAATCACATCACCTAACATAGATAAATCCGTTGTCTGTGAGCATGGACCCATCACAAGGCGAAGAAAGACGAACGCCAGGTAGCAACAAATCGGTAGTGCTTGCTACCTTTCCGTACACTTGCTATTTATCTCTCTGTGTCACGAGGAGCCCCGATCAACGTAACTGCGTTTGGAGAGCTCTAGCAGCTATCAAGAGTGGATTTAGTGCTCAATAGGCCTTAGTCTCGGATTGATCTAGCAACAGCCATAAATCAACGTTGCAGACCTTACTACATCTGCAACATGAGTAATAACTAGTGTAGTGCAAGGTTGGTTTACGTGCTTTGATTGTATGTTGCTGACATCTTCCTTGATAGACTGTTGTGTGTAACAAACTCTTTTGTGTATTATTTAGATTCCTCGAGTGTGGAAGATTCAACTAGTGAGGATTCAAGTTTTGAGTCTTGTGGGAGTGAGTATGTATATACCTAGTCCGAAACACCCCATTAAAGTAAGCAGTATTGTTTTACCAAACGCGATGTGTTTGATTGAGTTGTCTCAGTTAGATAAATTTCTCGAGCAAGTTAATTGTTGTAGGGGTTGCAAAACTCGTGGATGTGCGGAAAATTTAGTCCCTGTCCATGTTAACAGTGTTGCACGCGGCGGCCTTGTAATAAAGTATGCATGTAATGGTTGTGCCTCTAGTGGATGTGTATTGGAAACGTTCTCCCAGTATAAAGAGGGGGGGAATACCATTAGTCGTTGTGTGCAGGTAGCATTTATTATAGCTGGCTGTACACACGCAGTGTATCATAAGACGCTGAAATTGGCACTGGGAATACAGGCTGTAAGTAAGGGTGTGTTTTTGAAAACTATTGAAGAAATGTACCCGATTCATGCTCTAGACGATATGTGTAAAAAGGCACATCAGGAAATGATGCAAATTCCTCCTGAAGAGCTTGGTTCCTGGAAGAGAGCTGTAACCACTGCTGATGGAACCTGGCAAACTCGAGGGTGGCACAGTAAGAATGCCACCTTCACAATTTAAATGGTGCATTATTATACTATCATCATTCCTGCCAAAAAGGTAGAACTGATGTTGTTGGGCAGGAACTTTACCGTGGCACATCTAAATCTGCTGAGGGTTATGCAGCTATGTTAATGTTTGAGAAAGCGAAAGAGGATGGGATGTGTGTTGCCATTCATTGGCAGGACGCAGACTCGTCCTCTGCCAATTCATTCTCTGCAGTGCTTCCTGATATGTGCAGGGCATTCAGGGCGTGCACACAGAAAAATCCTCGAAAGTCGTCAGAAAATTAAACAATTCCCCAAGAAGTTTATTGAGAAGCATAGAAAAAAATTTCCTGGAATAGTTGAATGTTCTTCGGACTGCAAAAAAGATAGCCACAGTAGACACATGTGTGCGTTTCTGTCATTGTACAGGCAACCACAGTGTGGGTTGTGGGTGCTTAACACCAGAGTTTATAGCCAAAGCACACACAAATTTCACTTCCATTTTGAGGGAGGTGAAGTCACAAGAGGAGTTTGTGACTCGCCTTGATTCCTTGGCGAGACATGCTCGTGATGAGCATGAGTGGGAAGGGGGTAAATGTGACTTCCATCCTTTGCTATGGTGTTCATGTGGTAACTGTAGTAACAAATATCAGTTGCATTGTGAAGGTAAACCTTACAGAACTAAGGTAATGCTGAAGTGCAAGTTCCATGCACTAATTTATGAGATAGAATTGCATGAAAGGGCCCTGCAGGCAAAACAACTGGTACATCCAGTTCTGAAAAGTGGCCACTCAAATGCAGTAGAAGCATCCCATAATGTACTGATTAGGTTTAGGTCCAACGCCATTGCCCTCCAAATGACACATTATCATGTGTCCACTAATCTTGGTCTACTTCAGTCCAATTTGACCTATATGGATCAAAGGTGTGGTGTAAGTTATCACTGGATTCCTGAATTGTTCTGTCGCATGGGTCTTCCAGTGTTCGATGGTGTTCGGGAAGCACTAGAACGTGATAATGAAGCAAGGAAGAAAGACCTTGAACGGGCTAAGAGAAGGTCTGTGATAATGAGAAGAACAGCCTTGAGAAGAAAAAGGGTTAAAGATGGAAGAGATCGCATGGCGTGGTCTAAGAAGAACGGTCATCACACATATGGTGGTGAGCTAGAAGAGCATGTTGAGAAAAGAAGGAAAAAAACCCGCACAGCACATGCAAAGAAAAGTTGTTCTTCACGAGTTTCAAATCTCAAAAAGTGTCGAGTTAAAAGAAAACGTGGCATTTATAGTGATTTATCTGATAATATATTATTGCTAGATGATAGTGATTCTATTCCCACAGACAGTGGTGATAATGAAATTAGGGAGCCCCCAGAAAAGAAAACCAATTCCTCTCTCCCTGAACCCATTTTTGAGGTTGGGGACTATGTCTGTGTACATAAAGACAAGTACCACATTGTCTGTCGTATTGTTGGGGAGTTTCATGGTAGATACAGTCTGTACTGCCCAGCGGGTGTTATCAATAGATCTTTCTGTGCTACCGAGCTGATGCAAATAGACAATTTTACACATATTCCACTGAATGAGTGGCGACAAGCTCCAAAAGTTCCTCTGTCTGATACTGTAGCTTTAGCACTTGTATCAGAGTGCACATGCAGTTTGCCTGCGTGCTTGGAGACTGTTATAGCTGTTTCCTCTGCTGAGGACGAGCAAGAAAAAGATGAAATGTGGGTAAAAAGTCTAATATACAGTTTGCCATATGGTGCACGTGATGTAATATTGTCTCCTCAAGGGTGGCTCACTGATGAGATAATTACAGCTGCCCAAAAGCTCATGCACCAGCATTTCCCAAACATGGAAGGTTTTCAACCTCCTACTCTCGGAAAGTTGCACAGTGGTTTTGATGTTCACCGGGACGCGTTTGTACAAATTATTAATGTCAAGAACATCCACTGGTGTGCTGTATCAACTGTTGGCTGTGAAACTGGGATTATTAATTTGTATATATGACAGTCTGTATGGGTCTGTCGACCCCGAGACAGAGTTTTTGATTGCAAGCATGGTGCTTAGTCCAGCCTCAAATTTGACAATCAAAATGGTAAATGTTGAAAGGCAATCAAACTCATCTGATTGTGGAGTCTTAGCTATTGCCTATGCTTTTGATATCTGCAGTGGTGTCGATCCTTGCAAGGCACGATATGACTCCAGTAGAACCAGGCAGCACTTAGCAACGTGCTTGTCAGACTGTAATTTCTCCCGCTTTCCAGTTGTCGGTAGTGAGAGGAAATGTCGTTCAGTAAAACTTTCCAAAACAGTGGAGTTGTACTGTACATGTCGCCTGCCTGAGCGTGTGGGTAAAGACAACATGGTAGAATGTGATGTGTGTAAAGATTGGTTTCACAAGCATTGCCAAGACGTTCCAAAGGATGTGTTTACTACTAGTGGAGTCATTTGGAAATGTAAGGTATGCTGTTCTTCAAATTAACTCAAAACACATTATAAAGTCTAATTTTTTGCACTTGGGTAATCAACATCTAATACCATCAGTTATAGATGGGGGTGTCTGTGTAATTGTTGGTCTTCTCAGACAGGGTGTTTAAGTAGGCCAGTGGCTTGCATTGTCCAGGTTGGTTAATAATAATACGACTTTGTCATAATTATTGTGCTTATTGTAACCAGGTTTCTGGTATAGCTTATAACTCCCCAGTGCAGACAAATCCAACCTACGGTAGCTGATTTCTCTTTGAAAGAAGAGAAGTTGGTTATTGTAGGTGCATTGTATATTTGACCCACAGCCAAATATAGAAGATTCCCTGATTTTCTCCTTAGAAAGGAGAGTTTGTTGCCTTGTCCTCATGAGATGATCTCTACTCACTGAGGCTGCTTAGTGGCTTAGTGGTAGACGCACTAGATGATTTTGGGGTTCACAGTTGTGGCACCTCTCTGCCCAGTGTGGCACCCTCTCTGCCCAGTGTGGCACCTCTCTCTGCCCAGTGTGGCACCTCTCTCGCCCAGTGTGGCAGTCTGTGCCCAGTGTGGCACCTCTCTGCCCAGTGTGGCACCTCTCTGCCCAGTGTGGCACCTCTCTGCCCAGTGTGGCACCTCTCTGCCCAGTGTGGCAGTCTGTGCCCAGTGTGGCACCTCTCTCTGCCCAGTGTGGCATCTCTCTGCCCAGTGTGGCACCTCTCTCTGCCCAGTGTGGCACCCATCTCTCTGCCCAGTGTGGCACCTCTCTGCACCAGCGTGGCACCACATCTTCTCTGCCCAGTGTGGCACCTCTCTGCCCAGTGTGGCACCTCTCTCTGCCTAGTGTTGCACCTCTGCCCAGTGTGGCACCTTCTCTCTCTGCCCAGTGTGGCACCTCTGTTCCAGTGTGGCACCCTCTGTCCCAGTGTGGCACTCTCCTGCCAGTGTGGCACCTCTCTGCCCAGTGTGGCACCTCTCTCTGCCTAGTGTGGCACCTCTGCCCAGTGTGGCACCTCTCTCTGCCTAGTGTGGCACCTCTGCCCAGTGTGGCACCTCTCTCTGCCCAGTGTGGCACCTCTGTTCCCAGTGTGGCACCTCTCTCTGCCCAGTGTGGCAGTCTGTGCCCAGTGTGGCAGGTTGTGGGTGGGCAAGCTTCCCGGCGTCCTCGTCGCCCCACCTGGGAGGGAGTCTCAGTGAGACTCCCTGCTAACTGGGAAGCTCTTTTTGTTTTGCACAGTTTATTAACTGATGTGTGCCGTGGGTTAATAACCTCAAGTACACAAGTAGCCAAATCAATAAGTATATACAAAATGAGTTTGTAAGTGATCTCATGTACTAGAAAAATCCATTTCAGTTCATTGCTCGGGGCTCATATAGCTAGAACATTATCAGGGTCTTCTTCTTGATGTGAAGGGTCGCGATGTGGGGTTGGCTCCCTCGACCTCTCCCTCGACCTCTCTCTCGGCCTCTCTCTCGGCCTCTCCCTCTGCCTCTCTCTCGGCCTCTCTGAGAGATACATAAACCACAGAATATCTCAAATATCTAACAGAAGTTTCGAGTACCGTGTACGAATCGACACTCGTCACCATAGCGGCAAATTTGGCCCCGCCAATAGAATCTGCATACCTGTGTGGGGTGAGTATATAGGCAGCTCTTTGGTTGGTATCTAGTAATACTGGCACTAAGGTTCTGAGTGCAAGGTGCCTGAATTAGCATGAACAAGCTATATATGTATAGTACCTACGTTGGGGTAAGACATTTCTCACTACCACATCAACCTACATATCATGGTCTCCTGTAGTGTGTAGCTAGTATCTTTAGCATTACCTTCTTGCGCTTTGGACGCCTCTTTTTCAGTATGGCTATAGCAGCTTCTAGGGTTAGCTCTGCAAAAGATTATGAGCTATATTCAGTGGCAGCAATAATAACCATTAATAAATAGATGCTACTCTGAATATGTACATACCAATAGCTTTTTTGCATTTCTCTGTCAGCTCTGTGTTCTCTGACTCTGTCGTCCATTTTATCAGCAACTCTCTACACTGCTGCTGTTGAGCTGCACTACTAGCCTTTATAAAGGCCCCACAAGGTGGGCCCCAAGCCAGACATAACAGGTGAGGGGGTAGTCTCATTTCCAGACCCCACCTGCAAAATGGGAAAGGAAAGGGTCTGGTTGTGCTGATTCAGCAATATGCAGTGGGCTAATACATGGGTCATCATAATGCCTGCTGAATCAGCACAGCCGAGAAAGCAAGCAATGTCACCAGACCCTTTCCCATTTTGTGGATGGGGGTCTGGGGATGAGACCAGGAGGCCTGCAACCTAACAAGTCTTGTTCCCAAAGCCCCACCCACAGGAAAAGGGAAATGTGTGTAACTGTTGCACACCATCACATGGTTTTCTTCTACATGTGACATTCACATGTGTACTACATTAGGGAGTCAAGGGCAAAAGCCACTACATACCTATGGCCTTATGAATATATCTGTCGCTCAATTTTGCTCTTTGCTGCAGGAATCCTGCTGTATATACCTACTGGTGGATCAGACTTTTATAGCTGGCCTAGAGGGTGCTCTCCCAAGCCAGTAGGGTGTTTGGGAGGGGAGGAAGAGAGGAGGAAAAGAAGAGGTAAACCAGCCTAATTGCAACCTAACCACACTTATGCTGCCTTGGCAGAATTTCCTGTCACCTCTATCCCAACCCACAACAGGTGCTGTCATTCTGTGTGTCTGTCTGTCTGTCTGTCTGTCTGTCTACGACTATTCTCGCACTACAGGCTACGAGGCGGCTTATGAGCACGCTAAGTGAGAGTATACTGTGCCATAGCACAGTGGTTTGAGGTGTTGTGTTGTGTTGTAGATTCGGACCCCTACCAACTGAGTTACCCCGGTAGCTCAGTTGGTAGAGTGCTCGCTTAGACTAGACTGCAGAGTGTCACCCCACCTAGGGAAGCTCTTTGAAGAGCTGCCCTGGGTGTAGTTGATTTGTTTGTTGTGCCTTTGCCTTTCTACCTCATAGTTTTCATATGCATGCATGCATGCATGTAAAATATAACAGCTCACGCTTTATTTACATACTATTATAGAATGTACAATATACATGTGTATGTATGTACAATATACATGTGTATGTATTATGTGTATGTATGTGTATGTATGTATGTATGTATGTAAAATAACAGCTCATGCTTTACCTTCCACAATGCAGCCCCAAAGCAAGCAGCTGAGATCTACTATCAGATTACAGTTCCGTCTTCTACTCTGGACAGTTCTACTCCTGACAGCTCTTCTCGGGAGATGCTGTGCACAAGTCGACTGTGAGGAGAGACCGAGCTACATCAACTGTGTAGCAGAATTAACAAAGGGCTAATCTGCGGTGACAGTGAAAGTAAAGTTATATGTAAGCATAATACATACACAAGTACATTGTACATACATGAAAAAACATGTTTATAGCATACTAGCTAAAAGAATAATATCAGAGGAAAAGAAAGAACCTCGCACACAAAACACAGACAATAACATACCCAAGCATACAAACACAGACAATAACACAATATAAACAGAAAGAAAGAGGCAGGACCCTGGGTGCCCAGCCTTGAGAACGGGCGGTAGGTTAAAGAGTCTTTTATGGGCCCAACTCTCCCTACACACCCAGTGTCCCAACCTCCCTTACACATAGTTAGAAAATAAATAGATAACAAAAAAACAAAAAAACGACAGCTACAGGATACACATACACATGTACATATGGTTTGTGTTGTGTTTATCTCTGTATATGTCAAGTGAAGCTCCAGAGCCCTTCTCACATTTCTTTCTCTTCCTACTTTCTATAACAGTATGTAAGTAAAGCGTGAGCTGTTATATTTTACATGCATGCATATGAAAACTATGAGGTAGAAAGGCAAAGGCACAACAAACAAATCAACTACACCCAGGGCAGCTCTTAAGAGGTGGGATTACACTCTGCAGTCTAGTCTAAGCGAGCACTCTACCAACTGAGCTACCAGGGCAACTCAGCTGGTAGGGGTCCGAATCTACAACACAACACAACACCTCAAACCACTGTGCTATGGCACAGTATACTCTCACTTTGCGTGCATACATACATACACGTATACATACATACATACACATAGACACATCATTGTACATACATACACATACACATTATTGTACACATCTACATTGTACATACAAGGTACACATCTACACACCTTGAATGGTTGCCCTGCTACTCCATTGGAAGGGTAGAAATTCCAGCCACCAGAGACGTCAACTTTGACATCTCGTCAGTCGTCAGTCTCTTCACTGCCCATGGGAACATCTGCGAGGGAGGGGGTACAACACCTTGTCACAGATGTAGCACAGGCTGATGCTGTATACAGTGTATATGTACATAGTCGAGCACTCTTGCATTTCTGTGTACAAAAGCTTACTGAGGGATATGCAATGTACATGTGTATGTATAATGTATGTACAATGTAGATGTGTATAATAATATGTGTATGTCTACACACATTTGCTGCTATGGGGGTGGGGGAAGTAAGAAAGGGAGAAAGCCTTGAACCAATTGGCTAACCCCATCCATAGCTGCAGTTTGTCAGGAGACTTATGCCATGCTTGACGCTGCCATGCAAAGAGCTACATGCACTAACTTTGCGTGGCTCGTTAATTGACCAGTACCAGAGCGGACAGTAAACACGGTGGCTCTTCGCGCATGCGCAGGAGGCAGGCCGCAGGATATATATGGCGTTGGGTGAAACTCGGTCGGCGGGTCAGTTGTCCGTTTTACGTGGTATAGCCTCCCCAGCAGATTATGAATCAGTTTCTTGTTGTCTCGCTTTTTCAGGTAAAGCGGCGTATCCGCGTATAACTCCTGATGGCTATAATGCCAATCTGAACGAGAGCAAAGTGGTGGAGTTGAAATGCTTGCTACCTAGTGGGACTAGGATAGTCCTGTGGTTCATTAATACAGTCAGTGTCTTTGAGACTGAAGACGAAAATCTGAGAGAGAGGGGAATCAGTTTCAATACCGCAAGGAGAGTGGAAGAGAATTCAACCTATGTATCTATTTTCATTCAACCAAAAGCTGAAAACGATAATACAACGATTCAGTGTGAGGCAATCACAAATACAGGATTACTGAAAAGTCCTGAGGTGGTGTTCAGAGTGCAAGGTTAGTGAGTGGATCGGTAAGGTTTGCAAATCATTTGTTCCCTATCCCAGGTCTGCTGGATCCACCAACTGGTCTGGAGATAGTTCACCATAATGCCACCCACCAAGTTCTGAGATGGACTCCCCCCTTCACTCTGGACCTGACGGCCTACGAGGATGACATCACTGGCTATTCAGTGACACTGGAGATGGAGAGTCCTCCCCCTCGCGACCCCTACGACCTCTCTGTCTCCAGGGACCTCCTGGACTCCACCACCAACTTCACCTGGAGTCTGTCTGGCCACTCCACAGAGTTCTTCTTCCCTCGCTATGCCTTCCCCGTGTGGCTGAGTGTGAGAGCTGAGAACCCAGTGGGTCTCGGAGCTCCCTCTCCTCTCCTCCAGTACTCTCCCCCCACCTCCACAGAGGATTGTACCAGACTGAAAGGTGATGTAGTTTTGTAGTCTGTGGCAGTTGTCAAAGACTACCATCTTACAGACGTGGTGTCAGATAGTTCTCTGGAGAGTAAAGTGAAATTCACCAACTCAGCTTTGACACCCACAGTGGAGATACTGCTATATAGAGTAACAAGCAAGGTAAAGCTCTTTTCACTGGCAATTGTCTTATGTTTCTACTACCTCTGGTTTCAGAATATGTGTATAGACAGTGTGATGCTGATGCTGTCAGCAGGAGATGAGTCAGCCAGTTCCAGTAGTGGAGGGAAAGAGGCTGGAGGGACTAGTCAGGAGGTCCTGATTCCAGAAGTGAGAGAGACAGAGATCAGTGTGGTCCTGGGACCACACCTCCTAGACCCCCATTCCCACTACACAGCCATGCTCTCCCTCCAACAGCAACATGTCTCCACTCTACACTTCTGTGAGTTGATGACTTACTGGCACTACATACTTGACATGTAGGCACACTCTGAAAGTTTATATTTTCTGAGCATTTGTGGACCTATGGTTCACATAAATGATGCCTGAGGTGTTGACGGGGTTTTTAAGAATGTTCTTCAATACCCACAGCCACCCACCATGTCCAGAGAGTGATAGTGGAGGAGTAGGATGGAAATGGACTGGTGGTGGAGTGTGTGTTTGCAGACGGCTCCCCCCAGAACACCACATGTACAGTGGTGGTGGAGGGAGAGGGGGAACAGTGGGTGGAGACTTTCAGAGGACCTCTAGCATTCCCCGACCTCCCAACTGGAACCTACACTGTGTCAGTCTTTGATGGAGAGATGGAGGTCCAGGAGCCTGCTGTGGTGACAGTGGCAGAGGTCTCTGGACTTCCTACCAGCACTTCATCAACTCCTACCTTCACAGGTTGGTGGTATTAAAACTGGGAATATTTGTAAAATTGCTGCATTCGAAAGTTATGGCGTGAAAACCAAGTGAACAAGTAATTATCACAAGCCTATATAGCTATACCTCAACCAGGTCCGCTCGCTCTGCGTATCTTGAAGGCACAAGAAGCCCCAACGAAGGGCGTGTATCGACTCTCGCATGCTATCTACTACTGTCGCTAGCCCGAGTCATACTCCCCGTGAGCTATTAGCGTGGAGACGACCTTGGAGACGACGACAAGTAACAAACGCATAGTACCAATATCCCAGCACATCTATTAGGGGTACCGCTCATACACAGTTCGCCAAGAGTATGCACATTGGTGCTTTTCATTTACTATAGTTGATGGACTGGCTACTAAACATTTGCATCTACCACTAGCCATAGGACCAATTTTCACTGAATGGGTGGTGACATAATTTATTTCGCATGCAATCAACAAGGACTAGCTGTCCACAGGGAGTAGCAGCTGTTGAGTCATCTATTGGAGTAAGATGAGGGAGGCATTGCAGGAGGGTGAATGGTGACTATGATTGCTTTATCACTGGATGGCAGTGTTTATGAGTAGCTAGCCCTTAATATAACTTCCTACAACCATGATTGTGTGGTTCTGTTAGTTGATACAATCTTCTGCTCTTACCTGAAGCAGTTCAACTGCAGCAGTCCTGGAACCATCATTAACTTGTTAATGCCACAAATCTCAGTTCATGAAAAAAAACCTAATGCACTCTTTTCAGTACATAAGAAATTTAAAGTTACGTGCACGTCACGAAATGGAAATGTCTGATCAAAGCTAATATAATATCCAAGCCACTTGCTAAAAATTATTGTGTCGAGTGCTAACTCTATTCTGGCATTCACCATGGTCTGTAAAATAATTATTAGTTAAAAGTCCCAATACTCAATCACTAGTCAAATAGTTTTTAAGTGTTTTGTCACATTCACAATACAATACATGAAACTTGCAAACGAAAACAAAATACTTTATTGCGATATCATCTATAGGGTAAACATTTCTGTCTTTTTTCCTGATAAACTTAAGCAGCAGCACTCTCAACAGTCTCATACACACAGAGACTGGAGCTGTTTGTGTCTTGTGTGAGTGTCCCTCATTTGACAGTATCCTCATCTCATACGGTGGGTTGTTCTCCATGTTGTAGTCTGGCTCCAGTCTGGTGATTCATCTGACAGTTTATCAGTTCTTGTGATTGTGGTACCTGTATCAGCTGCTGGGACACTTGTCATCACAATATCTGTTGTACTCATTCTTCTCATTGTTTTGCTTAAAAGGCAAGGTAAGTTTCTCTGTCAAGCAAGCTTTGATTATATATCTATTGGTAGGTAGTACTAATAAAAACAGACAGCAGGAAAAGTGTGATGTGGTGGAGAACTCTGCTTATGGTGTCCATGTTCAAGGCTCAGCTGGTGATAGACTGGAGCCAGACTACAACATGGAGAACAACCCACTGTATGAGATGAGGATACTGTCAAATGAGGGACACTCACACAAGACACAAACACCTGCTCCAGTCCCTGTGTATGAGACTGTTTTTCGGAAAATAGACGGAAATGTTGTCATGTTTACCATTTTAAGTGTACACATCTTATACTATTACGGTATTTTGTTTTCGCCTGCGAATTTCATGCTTTGCATTGCGAATGTAATGTAATACTTATGACTTTCAAACCTTACATCTTTTGCCCACATAGTTCAACCAGTAAGCACTTGCACAAAAACTAGTGGCTGGAACTTGAGTATTGGCTTTGAATTTTTTGAGGCATGCACGTTTGAGACCACAGGTTATGAAAGATGTAGCTTGCCAGTGAGTTATCTAATCACCTTATCTCACAGTAGCAGGAGGTAAACAGGCACAGATTTTACACAACCCTCAACATGCTGCAAAAACTCTGCAAATTCATGATGATTTGGTGTTTCAATAACAACAAAAATAGGTTGAAAAGCGAAGCAAGCCCTACTATATAGTCATTCGGTGCGGATATTTTGTGTGATGGAATCTCTACACAACCAGCCATCGTCAACAGTTGGTGATTACGAGTAGATTTGAAATTATAATCTTAGAATTATGCACTTGACACAGCCATATCCCTGTTATTGGCAATGTGCTACATGCTAATCAAGATGTCTAAAAGGCTTTTATGTCACTGTTTGCTAAAACACAGCAGTATTTACAATCCTAGCAAAAGGAAAAGAAAAGGAAAAATTTTATAAGCTACACTGTCAACACTCTCAAGAGTAAAAAAGCTTCCGGTTCGTTCGTGCGACAGAACCTGCCCTACTGCTTCTCTCGGTGGCGTCATAAGTGTTTAGCTTCTCTGACAGTTAGAAACTGACACTTTTGAGGGTTAAGTGATAGGTCCAACTGCGATGGTGTTCTTTCTCATCTTCTATAGCAGAGTCTTACTAACAGGTGAGCAAACACACGTTTGTCATCATTTATAAAAAGTTTCATTCATTCTTAGTATGGGGACAACCAACTCTATATCCTCTGTCTATCCATGCCTGTCCAAATGAGACAGTGACATACTATTGTCATGACAGTCGCATCAGTGTCATTGCGTGGGAAGTATATACCACCTTACATCACAAGGACAGACAGGAACCATATACAATTCGTTTCAGATCCTCCTGAAGGAATTCCCTCTGTACATAATATGACTCGTGAGAATAAATTCTTAGTTAACCTCACTAATATCACGAGGTTGAATGGTAGTGTGGCAGACATGACTACTAGCCTGATGATCATCACATATGGGATACAGAATGAGACAAGCATTAACTGTCTAGTGGCTAAAGGAGGCTCTGTGTTTCACTCGTCCTCAACACTATATTTTGCAGGTTTGCTTCTCTGAAATTTTCATGTGAATTTAAATTTAACTTTTGGTTTTAGGTATACCTAGTGCTAAGGCACCATCAATCAAACATCAAGAGAGGGAGACATAATATTTCACAGCATTACTAGAGCTGGAATTCCAGTCGCTTGATAGTTTCAGGAAAGCATCCTTTATATTGGGTAGTGAGCTGTGGGAGGATAAATTTGGTTCTTTGCTTCTCCTTGTTAAAGGTTTTATTTCGGATGTTTGGGAGCTAGGTTATATGGCGATAATCCCAGCGTACAACAGACCCAGTCTCAGATTGCGTCTGGAGAGCTGCAGGATGTCACTGGTGGAAGGGGTGAGTTGAGGTGTCTAGGAGGTGAGACAGACACCTCATGTTCATATGGTGTATGTTCGTTTGTTAACGGTTCCCCCCATTGCTCTGGGTGCGTGGTCTATGGCCCTAGTGCTATGGCAGCTACCTGAGTATTATTACCCTCGGCGCGCATGCGCAGCGAGGGTACGTTAGTAGTTAACCCTCGGCGCGCATGCGCAGCGAGGGTAGTGTAGTTGGGTTTGTCGGTGTGTCTGTTACTCTCAATCTCATTTCTCGAATGTCTGTTCGTCTCACAAACGATACCATCTACCCAACGGGCGATGAAGGTCAGAAAATAATGGCGGTTTTCTCTGAAAATGCTCCGTTGCAAAGCTAGAGCGCTTCCAGCATTGTATGGCTAATGCCCCGGTAGTCGCCATTTTATCGCTGGCGGATAAGGCGCATGCGCTTATATTTAGCACAGGCTTAACCTCGACCGGGTCCGCTTGCTCTGTCTATCTTGAAGGCACAAGAAGTCACAACGGATGACGTGTATCGACTCTCGCGTGCTATCTACTACTGTAGCTAGCCCGTGTCAGACTCTCTGCGAGCTACTTCGCCGAGGGTTTGCACTTTAGTGCTTTTCGTCTGTTTGTTTGTCTGTTTGTCTGTTACTCTACATCTCACTCCTCGAACGTCTGTTCGTCCCAGAAACGACACCATCTACCCAACGGGTGACGAAGGTCAGAAAATAAAGG